TCTCTCTTTCTCTCTCTCTCTGTGTCTGTCTCTGTCTCCCTCCCTCTCTCTCTCTTTCTCTCTCTCTCTCTCTCTCTCTCTCTCTCTCTCTCTCTCTCTCTCTCTCTCTCTCTCTCTCTCTCTCTCTCTCTCTCTCTCCCCCTCTCTCTCTCTCTCTCTCTCTCTCTCTCTCTCTCTCTCTCTCTCTCTCTCTCTCTCTCTCTCTCTCTTTTGGTGAGGCAATTGGGGTTAAGTGACTTGCCCAGTCACATAGCTAGTGAGTGTTGTGTGTCTGAGGCTGGATTTGAACTCAGGTCCTCCTGACTCCAGGGCTGGTGCTCTATCCACTGCACCACCTAGCTGCCCCTGGGCAAATCTCTTAACCTTGTGGGGCCTCAGTTTCTTCCTCTGTAAAAGGAAAAGGTGGGACCAGATGACCTCTGAGGAGCCTTCCAGCCCTAGATCGCTGGTCCTATGATCTCAGCCTTTTGAAAGAGGAAAGTTTGTTGGGTGATGATGGAAGGCAAATGTTCTGGAGTGTTTGTGGGGAGTCTATTGAGGGAGAACGAGTAGCCTCCAATGGTGAGGGTTGCTGGGATATGATGTCCTCAGGGGAAGCAAGGTTTTGGGTTAAAAGGAGGGGGTGGAAGGAGCGTGCACATGAGCAGCTGAAGCCTCCAGAGAGGGAAGTGACTAAGGTCATCCAGCCAACGATTGGCAGATGCAGAGACCACAACCACCATTTTCCGTCTCCTAGTCTAGGGCTCTTTGTCTTGCAGAGAGGGAGGTAACACGGGACAAACCAGAGGACCTGGGGAGAGTCTCTGATCTTCTGCTTCCCAAGAGTGCCATCTTGGGCAGATGGCTTCCACTCTCTGGGCCTTGGTTTCCATTTTCTTTTTTTTAATGTTATATTGTATTTTTATTTATTTTGTTAAACATTTCACAATTATATTTTTATTAATTTATTTTGATTTATCAACAATCACTTCCATAAGCTTTTGAGTTTTAAACTTTTCTCCCTTCCCTCCATACCTCCCTCCCCTAGACAGTGTGCAATCTGATATATGCCATACATATACATTCCTATTAAACATATTTTCACATTAGTGATGTTGTAAGGTAGAATTAGAACCAGTAGGAGGAAACACTAGAAAGAGGAAACAAAACAAAATAGAAGAAAAAATAGCAAAGAGTATATATTTTGATCTGCATTCAGACTCCATAGTTCTTTCTTTGGATGTTGATAGCATTTTCCATCAGGAGACCTTTGGAGATGTCTTAGATCCTTGCATTGCTGGGAAGGGTTAAGTCTATCAACGTTAGTCATCGCACACGTGGCTGTTACTGTGTACAACGTTCTCCTGGTTCTGCTCATTTCACTCAGCATCAGTCCATACGAGTCTTTCCAGGTTTTTCTGAAGTCAGCCTGTTTATCATTTCTTATAGCACAAGAGTATTCCATTACATTCATATACCACAACTTGTTCAACCATTCCCCAATTGATGGGCATCCCCTCCATTTCCAATTCTTTGCCATTGCAAAAAGAGCTGCTGTAAATATTTTTGTACATATGTGTCCTTTTCCCATTTGTATCATCTCTTTGGGATACAGCCCTAAAGGTTTCCTTATTTTCAAAATGGAGATGGTAATACCACTGAGAATCAGGGGGACCTGAGTTCAAATCCATCCTCAGACACTTCCTAGCAGTGTGACCCTGGGCAAGTTACTTCAACCCTGTTTGCTTCAGTTTCCTCATCTGTAAAATGAGCTGGAGAAGGAAATGGAAAAACCACTCTGGTATTTCTGCCAAGAAAACCTCAAGTGGGGTCACAGAGAGTCAGACATAACTGAAATAACTCAACAACACCCCCGTCCTCCCATGTAAATCACTTTGTAGAGCTTAAAGAGGCAGATAGGGGTGCCATGGTGCACAAAGTGCTGGACGGAGTGTATTTCCTAATGTGTGTGTACTGTTGTTTCCTCCAATAGAGTGCAAGCTCCTTGAGGGCAGGGTCTATTTCATTTCTTTTTTAACTTTGTGAGGTCTGAGAAGATTGTTAGCAGCGGAAGCAAATGGAGAGAGCTTCCCGGAGGAATTAGCATTTGAGCTGGATGGGTTGACTGAGTAGAAATTCAGCTGACAAAGAAAGGAAAAGGGGGCATTCCATGTATAGGGTACAGCCTGAGCTCGGACCCAGAGGCAGGACAGGACGTGGCCTATTCAGAGGACAGAGTAGAGTTACTGGAGGCATTCCATGACAGCAGCTATGAGAGGAGGGGAGAGCAATGTTGGGGCAAATCTTTCCCTGACCTGGTCTTATATCAATTGATGCCCAGTTTTCTTTCTCTCCCCCAGCTCCTTGGATTCAGAGCACTCACAGTTACCACTCCTCTCTCCTTCCCTCTCCAGATCAGCCGCATTGAGTACATCCACTCTAAGAACTTCATCCACCGGGACGTGAAACCTGACAACTTCCTCATGGGCCTGGGCAAGAAGGGAAACCTGGTGTACATCATCGATTTTGGCCTGGCCAAGAAATACCGGGACGCTCGCACCCACCAGCATATCCCCTACCGGGAAAACAAAAATCTGACTGGCACTGCCCGCTATGCTTCCATCAACACCCACTTGGGCATTGGTGAGTGACCTGAACTGGGGTGAACACGGGGTGTTACTGTCCTCTTGAGTCCATGTAGACTCTAAGTTGGGGCTGTGGACTTGAGCCCCCGTCATAGTGGTACCATTTGTAGTACTGATGACAGCAGCAGTAGTTAGTATGAAATATATGTCATCCTTATCATTCTGTCTACTACTGGAATTGCCCTGAGGCTGCTTTAAATGACCCTAAAGAAAAGTGGCTTATGTCCCAGTATTCTTAGGAGTCATTTTATCTACCTTTGCAATAGTCCACAGAACATTAAATTTAAAAGAGTAGCAGGGGCAGCTAGGCGGCACAGTGGATAGAGCACCGGCCCTGGATTCAGGAGGACCTGAGTTCAAATCTGGCCTCAGACACAAAACACTTACTGGCTCTGTGACCTGGGGCCAGTCACTGAACCCCGTTGCCTAACAAACAACAAGAAAAAAAAAAGAGTAGCGGCAGGATTAACTTGTCCCAAGCCTGCTTCCACCTGAAATCCATTGGAAAAGATGAAAATGACCAAACTTACAACTGAAATATTGTGTTTTGAAATTGGCAAAATGCTTTAAGTGTTATTTTATTTGAGCCGTAGAACTAAGCACAAGCATCCTTTTCCCACTTTATAGTGGTAGAAACTCAGCGGTAGAAACTTAAATGACCAACCCTTGATCACACAGCTAGTGAGTGTCAGAGGCTGGATTTGAACCTGGGTCTCTCCCGATTCCAAATCCAGCACACTCCAGTACACCCTGCCACCTCCCTCCCATTATTTTCAGGGTCTCTATAACTAGATGTCTCTTTGAGCAAATCCAAGATGTAAAGAATGGAGAGGGGGAAGTAATCAGGAAAGGATTCTTCCTTTTGCCAAAAGATTCAGGTTACGCAAAATAAGGAACTTCCTGGGGACATTTAAAATAGCTTCTGTTTATCAACATTTATTGTATTCTTCACATTCCAGTCAAATATTTGAATGCTACTGGGCCTCAGTTTCCTTGTGTGTAAAATGAGGGTGTTACGTGACAGGTGTGATACAATGAGATTGTATAGGGATTAGATGGCCCACAAAGCCCTTTCCAACCCTTGAATTCTAGGCTTCGACTGGCTGATGTCTAAGGTCTAGGACGATGACCCCCATGAGTACAGGATCCTCAGCTAGGCTTACATAAGCAATTGAAACGAAAGCAAAGGGCTGGTCCTTCCCTGCCCTAGAGAACCTTCTTTCTGGTTCTAGGAGCTAACTGGGTCAGTTTGACCGATGAGAAAACTGAGCCCAGCAAGGGGAAATGACTTGTCTAAAGTCCCAGGGAGTCATTGGCAGGGCTGAGAAGCAAGGAGGGGGTGAGATGAATGCTTGAGCCCCTCAGAGTAGACACCAGTGTGGACTTGAGCTTGTCTGGGAGTGTTGGGGGTGAGGAGGAAGGCAGAGGAGGTAGAGCTCTGGGGATCAGGTTTGAACCGGAGCAGGAGGGGAAGGATTCTTGGTACCCACGTGCTGGCGTCTGCCTTTCTGTTGTGAGAAAAGTCGAGTTACGAACCTGCCTTGCTCATGGAGCTGGAGGAAACTGTTGGGATGGATCTGGGTTCTCCCTCTCCTCCATTTTTGTCATTAAAGCACTTCATGTCTGCAACCGTCTGTACCTTTGTCAGGGTGGGCTTTCCCTCCTCTGACACATCTCTGGGCTCCTTCGTCCCCGTCTGAGGGATGTCTCCTCGTTGGAGCCTAGACAAGGAGACGAGGGTCACTTGCCCAGTATCCCAGATCGTAGGATCCTGCTTCTGAGACTGAAAGGGTCCTCAGAGGTCATCTGGTCATTTCACAGAGGAAGAAACTGAGGCTCAGACAGGTCCAGTGATCTGCCCGAGGTCACTGGAGTCCTAAAGGTCATGGATTTAGAGAGCAGGGGCTTCAAAGGTCATCGAATCCACTGCCTTGTTTTTGTAGCTGAAGCGTCTGCCACCCTACTTATGTCTGTGCTCAGCACAAGAAAGATGAGAAGGGACCCGCCCAGGGTCGTACAGCTGGGAGATGAGCAGGGTCTTTTGATGATGGGGCTTGGCTCTGCCTTGTACTGCCTGGCTGTCTTTGGACAAGCCACATTGCCCCTCTGTGCCTCAGTCTTCTCATCTGTAAAATGATGGAGTTGGGCTAGGCACCTCGGAGGCAGCTTGTGATGCAATGGATAGAGCTCCAGGTCTGGAGTCAAGAAGACCTGAGTTCAAATTTGGCCTCAGACATCTATTAGCTGTGTGACCTTGGGCAAGTCATTTAACCTCTATTTGCCTCAGTTTCCTCAACTATAAAATAGAGTCAGGAAGACCTGAGTTCAGATTTGGCCTCAGACACCTATTAGCTGTGTGACCTTAGGCAAGTCATTTAACCTTTATTTGTCTCAGTTTCCTCAACTATAAAATGGAGATAAAAACAGAATCTACATCAAGGAGTTATTGTGAGGATGAAATGAGATATTTGTAGAGCACTTAGCACAGTGCCTGGCACATAATAGGGGCTATATAAATTCTAGACCCTAGATTTAGGGTCCTAAATTATAGATTTAAATTATAGAAATTGTAGATCACAGTCCAAGTCTTCCTCCCAAGCCCCATTAATCTTTTTATTTTTCTTCCCCAACTAATATAACTTCTTGAGTGTATGTTGGCCTTCATTCATTCACCTAGCTGTCATGGTGGACAGAGAATAGGACTTGTAGTTAGAAAGACCCAGATTCAAATTCAGCTTCAAATACTTAGTAGCATGTGACCAGAGCCAAATCACCTCTCTTAACCTCAGTTTCCTCATCTGTAAAAATGGGGATAATGGACAGGATCCAGAGCACAACCAGAGTGCTAGCTGCTGTTCTGTAAATGTCTGTCGTTTTTATTAAACAAGTATTTATTTTAAAACAAAGCAATAACTCCTCTGTGTTGGAATGTTAGTCTCCAGCCCTGACCTTAAGGAATTTGCAATATCAGAGTAGGGAGGAGAGACCCAGATGCCCACAATGTGAATCACCACCTGCTGAAGACGTACTGGGGGGCGAGGGAGGTGCTAAGTTCAGGTAAAGAAGAGCTCATTTTTCGCTGCCAGGAATCAAGGAAGGCTTTGTAAGCTGGTGGTATTTGAGCTTGACCTTGAATGATAGGTGGGATGGTAATGATACAGGAGGTTATGGGAGACTTTCTAAGTATAGGGAACAGCATGAGCAAAGATATGGCAGCTGGAAAAGTTTGGACATTTTCAGGGTATAGTAAGTTATTCCATTTGAGTGGAAGTCCACGATACATTGCAGATTGTTGCTATTCAGTCATTTCAGCTGTGTCTGACTCTTCGTGAACCCATTTGGGGTTTCCTTGGCAAAGGTACTGGAGTGGTTTGCCTTTTCCTTCTCCAGCTCATTTTACAGTTGAGGAAACTGAGGCAAACAGGGTTAAGTGTCAACTAGTGAGTGTCTAAGGCCAGATTTGAACTCATGAAGATGAGTCTTCCTGACTCCAGTCCTGGCAAATGCTGGAAAATCAGTTTGGGGCTCCATTTCTGGAGGGCCTTGAATACCGGGTCAGTGAGGAAAGTTTAATCAGGTAAAGAGTTTGGACTTGATTCTGTAGTTCACAAGGAGCCATTGAGGGTCTTTGAGCAAGGGAATGTTGGGGTCATGGGAGGCTGAGCTGGCAGGATGGATGGAGGCCAGTGAAGGTTCTGCTGGTAGCCTCATTCAGCAAACATTGACTGAGCACCTACTGTGTGCTCCATCCTCAAGAATCCTGCAGAACAATTACATGCGTGTGTAAACATGCTCTTATGTGATACTGTTATTATTAATTTACCATTAAAGAATAGTACAAGGCAGCACCAAATTGGACACCAAAAGGGCTGTGTTCCAGACTGTTAATGAATGGAGGAACTCTGGGAAGGGGAGATCTCACTATGGCCTGGGCTGAGCAGGGAGGGCTACCGTATGACAGAAGCCCTCATGACCCTCTATCCAGATCATTACAATGGCCTCCTTCCAATGGGTCTTCACACCTCCCCTGTTCTCTCTTCTCCAACCCATTCTTTCTCTCACCACTATATGGACTTACCTTATACAAAGAAATAGTTGGGTCACTCCTCTGCTCAAAAGTCTGCCATAGCTCTCTGCTACCCTTTAAGTAAAGTTCAGACTGCTTTGACTGGCATTTAAGAGCTTCAGTAATCTGCTAACTTTCCAGCCTGTATGATAATAGGTGGGCATATCAAATGATAAACTGACAGACATATAGAATCTCAGGTTCATAGATAACTAGAGCTGGAAGGGCCTTTAGAGGACATCTAGGCCATCCATACTCCTATTTTACAGATGAGGAAACTGAGGCCCAGGCAGGGGAATGACTCACCCAAGGTCATGCAGGTAGTAAGCTGAACTGGGATTCTGACCCAGGCTCCATCTCTCCCAATCCAGCCATCTTCTGAATTGCCATCACCTCTTGACAAGTGATCCTTCAGACCCTGCTTAAATCAGTCAGGCCACAAGCATTTATTAAGCACTTACTGTGTGCACTATACTAGGAATTGAGGGCACAAAGACAAAAATAACCCACATGAAAGTGATTGGAATTCATTCAGTGCTTACTCTGTGCCAGGCTCTATGCTAAGTACTAGGCATACAAAGAGAAGCAAAAAAACACAGTTCCTGCACTCAAGGAGTTTACATTACAACGCCCAGACCACCTAATCTCCCTCCCCACTGTGTTCCTGTAATAATACATGATGCACTTTGGGTTTATGGATGTATTTACATTCTATCTTTGGTAGACCATCCATCTCCCAACCAGAGGAAGCAGCGAAAAGGGATAGAAGGAGGCCTTGATGAGGTGTTGGGGGAGCTGGACCCTAGACCCAGCCCTAGGGCTAACTCAGCTGTGGGACTTTGGGGCAAATCCTTTTACTTCTCAGTCTATTCATCTGTAAAAAGGGGATAATAATAACACCTATCTCACAGGGTTACTATGAAGATAAAATGAGATAATATATGTAAAACCTTGCCAAATTTGAATGTGCTATATAAAAGTTATGATGATGATGATGATGTAAAAAGAGAAGACTGGACCAGATTAATTTAACAAACATATTTGTGCCTACTTGGTACAGAACACTGCACTGAATTCTAGGGGAAATAGAAAGTTTAGATAAGGCAGTCCCTAAGTTCATAGAGCATACAGTCTAGTAAAATCCGAACTCAGAGAGCTCCCTGTGTATCCACATTGGTCTTTCTGGATGTTTCTCTCTTTTTTTGTTGTTGTTATATGGCTCCTTCAAGCTGAGACATGTTAGGATTCTAACTTAACAATAAGTCAATAATAATTAATAATTAGTTAATAAACCTGTCAACATTCCTCCATATTTCCTAACCTGGACCATAAATAGTGAAGCCAACCCAAGATCCATTGGGTCTTACTGGCTTGACATTTGCTGTTCCCAAGCCTAGGCAGATGAGATCTGAGTCTTCTTCAAAGGCTAAGCTAACCATTCATCCCTTTATTCTAATTTTTTATTCCTTTTTTTATTTAACAAAATTTTATTTTCTCTCCCTCTCACCTTCCCCCAACTGGGAAAAAAGAGAAAAAACAAAACAAAAACCTTCATAATAAATATGCAGAGTCTCTGAACAAAATTCTCACACATTCATTAATTGCCTACTACAGGCATAGCCCTGTACTTGGTTCTGGGGGAACCACAAAGGCATCCCTGGCCTTCACAGAACTTACAAGCTAGGTGGGGTATATAATACATACACAGATAATTGCAACATGAGTCAGAACAGGATGCTCGCCATAGGAGAGGAAATTCAAAGGAGGGAGAAATCACTTGTAGCTATGGAGATGAGGATCAGGGAAGGAGGATTCTCCTTCCTGGAGGAGCTGGCCCCTGAGTTTAGCCTTGAAGGATAGATACAGAATTTTGATATACTTAGATCAGGGCTAGGGGCAATGTAAAAATGACACGAAGAGAGGTGCGGAGGCTAGAAAGGGCAGAACTTGTTGAGGGAATATAGAGTGGCCCAATTTAACTGGATCACAGGACATGTGTGTGTATACATATGTGTGTGTGTGTTTGTGTGTATGTATATATAGTATGGATATATATGTGTGTGTATATACATATGTATATATATGTGTATATACATATGTATATATATGTGTGTGTATACACATAGATAGATATAGATAATGTGGGTTAAGGCTGGAAGGGTAGGTTAGGACCACTCTAGGGGAGGAGCTTTGAATGCCAGGTTGAGAAGTCTGAGTTTTGTCCTAGGCGGTGAGATTGAGCAATGGGGACTGTAGAGAATTTTGGAGCGAGGGTGTGTGAGGAAGGGCCTGTGCATAAGAAGGATTGCACTAGAAGAGAGAAGGAAGGAGGGAGAGAGAGAGAGAAAGAGAGAGAGAGAGAGAGAGAGAGAATTAGGCAATCACTTAGCTATTACAGTAGTTCAAGCAAGAGGAAATGAGGGCTGGGAGGTAGAGGCAGGCTGACCTGTGCCATTCTCCCCTACCCCTACCCAGCCAGAGAGGCTGCAGAGGGGGTTCGTGCATGGGCCGACAGGTTGGACCAAGTGACCTCTAAGGTCCGTCCCTCCTGAGATTGCAAGATTCCAGGAGGCATGAAAAAGAGGGATGGGGAGAATCCAGATTAAGCTGGCTCTTGCCCATGGATATTCTGTTCAGCTAGTAAGAAGTATCTGAAGTGGGATTCAAACCCAAGTCTAGCCGTGCTGCAATTGTGATGACAGATTTAAAATGGCGGCACCATTGACTTCCGCTTCCTGGGGCCTCTGGTATTTTCCCTCTTTGCTCCCTGGCTATGTGAGCTGATCCCTGACTGTCTTCTTCCCTCTGTCCCCCTGCAGAGCAAAGCCGCCGTGACGACCTGGAGAGTTTGGGTTACGTGCTCATGTATTTCAACCTGGGCTCCCTGCCCTGGCAGGGTCTCAAAGCAGCCACCAAGAGGCAGAAGTATGAACGTATCAGTGAGAAGAAGATGTCCACACCCATTGAGGTCCTTTGCAAAGGATACCCCTGTAAGTAGCCCTAGTGCCTGGAATCAAACAATCAGTCAATCAACAAGCATTCACGAAATCACCACTACATGCCATGCACTGTGCTGGGTGCTGGGGACGCAAGATAAAAGTGGATCCCCCCCTGCATTCAGCTTCCATTCTAAAGAGGGAGACAACACAGCTATGGAGAGAAACTACGTCTCTGGTGCTGTCCCAGGTGCTGACAGCTTCCTTGCTCCCGGCTTGGCCCAAGGCCACCAGGTTGAGGACAGTGGGAGGTAATGGGTAATGGGCAAGGTGACTAAGAAGGGGCCAGCAGTCCCTAGCTCTTTCAGGGACATAGAAGAGGGAAGCCCTGGACGGCCAGGTTCCTAAATTCAAACAAAACAGCCCTGACAACTTCAGAGATCCTTCGTGAAGGATAATCAATCAAGATTTATTAAGCTTCTACTCTGTACCAGGAGCTAAACTAGCAACTGGATATACAAGTACAAAGAATGAGACAATTCCTACTCACGAGGATCTTACGTAATTTAAAAAAAATTTAATTAACAAAAAAATCTATTTTCTCTCCCTCCCACCCTTCCCCCCTTAGCAGATGAAAAACCAAGTCAAATCTCTTGTAATAGATCTATCTAGTCAAGCAAAAAAACATAAAACAAAAAAAAAAGAAAAACACGAACTTTACATTGGTGATGTCCAAAAATGTCAGTCTTATTCTGCAGCATGAGTCTATCACCTCTCTCGGGAGGTGAGGAGGTTTTGTCTTTCAGATGGGGAACATAGCAAGTACATATAAAAATGTATGTAGCATTAGAGTGAAGGAGCTCATGTAATGCCTCTTTCAGTCCTAAATCTATGCTCTTCCGAGCCCATTAACAGAGGCACCTTCTTAACACTAGAATTGGGAGAGCAAGGGTCTGTCTTCAGAGGCATTAGGCAGTTTCCTCCCCAGCAGTTCTTTTTGCCAATGAAATCACAAGTTTGGGTTAAAAAAGACATTAAGTTGCCTTCTCAATGAGTAGGGGAGGGGCTGGAGGGAGTGAGACAATTTGAAAATGAAAAATAATATTAAAATATTAATTTAATATTTAAAATAAGTAATACTTAAAATGGCAAACAAAAAGAAAAGAAAATAGAAATACATTAAGGTCAGACTGGGCGACTTTACTTTAGATATATCTGTGACAGTGACCAGTGTTCACAGCTCTGACAAGGCTTTTTCTTATCTAGGCTGAATCTGAAAGGAGCTGATAGCCAGGTCAGGGTTCATCAGTCAGTCAGTAGTCAACAAGCCTTTATTAAGTGCCTGCTATGAGGGCCTGAGTTTAAAACCAGCTTCAGGTACTTCCTAGCTGTATGATCCTGGGCAAGTCACTTAACCTTGTTTGCCTCATTTTCCACATCTGTAAAATGAGCTAGAGAAGGAAATGGCAAACCACTCCAATATCTTTGCCAAGAAAATCCCAAATGAGGTCATGGAGAGTCAGATATGACTGAAAATAACTGAACAACAAGACCCTGTACTAGGGGCTGGGCTGAGGCGAAAAGACAGTCCCTGCCCCAAAGGGGCTTACAATCTAATGGGAGCAGAGATAACATATAAAATTATATACAAACAAGATATATACAGAATGGATGAAAGGAGTAGTTCGCGGGTGGGGGGGGGGGGACAGTTTCTTTCCTGCCCTTAATCCTGACCCCTCCCCTGCTCTGATTTAGAGATTAAAATATTTTTAGGAAAGATGGTTCGGGCGGTTATGTAACTCACTGCCTTAGAAGCCTCTCTCTGACCCAGAACAAGAATGCTTGGTTGGGTAGGAGAAGATATCTCACAGTTTTTTCTCTTGTCTCCTTTCCCTGACCGTCTCCCAGCTGAATTCTCCACGTACCTCAACTTCTGCCGCTCTCTCCGGTTCGATGACAAGCCAGATTACTCATACCTGAGACAGCTCTTCCGGAACCTCTTTCACCGTCAGGGCTTCTCCTATGACTATGTCTTTGACTGGAACATGCTTAAATTCGTGAGTCACCCCCCCCCCCACCCTTTCCCTCTTTCTGAGTGGCGGCTCTCGGCCACAGGAGCTAGTGGAGAGATATGGGAGGTGGTCTGGTAGTGTTGAGGTCTGTGGCGATAGGTGACAACAGCAGAAGCAGCAGCATGCTTCTGGGTTCGGCTTGGCTGGGTGCGCCCATCCCTTCTCCGCTCCCCCTTGTCCCAGCGAGAGGCAGCATCAGTGGGGGCCCGGAGGGTAGGTGGCCCCCACTGGGGTAACTGCTGTCTCTGTCAGCAGGGCCAGGCTGGAGACGGAGCTGACGTCCCGTCTCCTGCTCATCCTGCAGTCCAGGGACCGAAGAGCTGGCTTCTCTCCCTCGACCCCCTCCGTGCCTCTCGCTGGGGGGGTTGGGGGTACCTTGGGAGCTGCCTGACCACCTTCCTCGCCGCGGCCCTGCTGCTGTCCTTCTTATTCCCCGTGGCTGCTGTCCACGCTGCATTGCGTGTGGCCCTCTTCTCCCCAGCCTCCCTCGCTGACAGCTAAGATGCCAAGAGCATCTCTCCTTTCCTTCCCCCCAGGGTTGGGGGGAAGGCCAAGCGCCATCCCTCGGGATATATATTCTGGCATGGCTGCCATCTTGCCTTCGCTGGAAGGGGCTTCTAGGGGTTCTTGACTAGGGTGGGGACTGCTTTAGCACTTCCAAAATCCCCATGTCTTGTTTCTTCTGAATCTCTTCCGGGAAAGGGAGCTACCCCAGGACAGTCTCATTCTTTCGAGAAAGAAGTCAGCCCACACCCAGGTCACTCGGGCCAACCTCTGTACTGGTAAGGACCTGTTGGCTCCGCCTGCCCTTGGCTTCTGTTGATTATTTCTCAGCAGTCTTGTCCCAGGTACCAGGCAGCTGAGCTCCCCCACTTTGTGCTCTGTGTCCCCTTCCAGGTGCCCAACGCCCCTGGGCACCCCGTGCCATGCAGACCAGCATGTGGAGGAGGTTGAGGAGATGGAGGAGACGGGCCACCTTAGCCACTGGCCGGTGGTCTGGACCCCAGGGCCCCAGTTCTGACCTCACGGAGGCACCGTGAGTGCAAAGCTGAGAATGTCTACTAAACCAGGACCTGTGGATAACGCCCAGGCTGGGGCCAAAATGTGACCAAGAGAGCAAGCCAGGAATGGGGTCCTCCAGCCCCTGGGGCACGCCCCGCCCCGAGACAGTGACAGAGCAGAGGTGATGCGGACGAGTTGTCTTAGATAGTCCCTAGGAGGGCATCCTGAGCTGGTCCTCTGACTTGCCCAGAGAGTTGGGCTGACGGTGGAGACGGCCGAAGGCGGATGCCAGATGGGACCAGACCGCCATCTTGATGGCCTGCCGGTGATCTCTGTACCAAACCTGAGCTCATTAAAAAGGCCTCTTCCTTACTCATCTGGCCGTGAATGTCTTTTAATGTTGTCATTGCCAAGTGTCACGGGCCTGCTGTCCCTGAAGGGCAGGTCTCCTGTCCCCTCCTGACTCATCCCCTCCAGGATGCCCCCTTCTCCAGCTCCTCTTTTGTGCTTAGACATTTAGTCAGCACCTGCTGTATGCAGACTGCAGTGATGGACGATCCTCACCAACATCAGTGGTCTCATTCTGACTCCTTTTCTCCTTGCCCTCATGGTCTGGGCAGCAGCCTGGCATTCCTCTTGCCAGTCAGCTTTCTTTGTCCCAAGTGAGGAACAACTGAAGTCCTTCATGGTCGGAAAGGCACACCACGTGGTGAGCCAGGAATGGGGGGATATTGCCATGGGGTCTCTAAACTGCTGTTTGCCGCCTGCTTCCTCAGACTTTGCAGGCCTTCTCAGTAGCTACATCTCTTTGGCTCTTCCAGAGCCAGAAGCTGGAGATTCAGGAGAGGGTATAGACTTCTCATCCATTCAACCCAGGGGTCATGGGCATAGAAGACACGCGAAGGTCTTCTCCTAGAAGGTCGTATGTGTGTGTGTGTGTGTGTGTGTACATACATGTGTGCTGTCTTTTCTTCCTTGTCATTTACAAATCAATCACAAATTCCTGAGACATCAACACCTTTCAGGGACCTTGAGAAATTCCAGCCTGGACATCACAGCAAACCATCACTAGCCATTCCAGAAGGGTTCAAACTGCTGTGACTCTCTGCTTCACCTGGCAAGAGCCATGCCTTCTGGGACAGAACCCTTAGGAATCACCGAATGTGAGAGTAGCCAGTGCATATCAGAAAGGAATGCCCAACTCTAACACGCTTGATGGAGTGAAGACCTCCAAGGAGGGGGAACCCATCCACCACCTCTTGAGGCTATCCATTCAAAGAGAGAGGGAAGGGGGGATCCCTGATAAACCTCCTTGGAGAAGGCTGAAGGGTCCTGGAAGGCGTTCATGCTGGGACTCTCCCTTGTCATCTGTGTCACTGGGATATCAGACCAGATGAGACAATGACTCTCCCTCAACCTCAGACCTTCAGATTGGTGGCATCTCTTGGGAAGTTTGGTGGGACCGTCTCCACCTACTATTCCATGGCCACTTTCTTGCTGTGACCCTGTGGCTAGGCCTTCTGCAAGGGTCCGCTTTATTTTGGATTTGGCTGCCGCGAATGGACAGGTTTCTGATCCCCCACCACTGTCGGCCGTAGTGATTTGGAAGATTCGTCATGTGGGAAAGGAGAACACCTTCAGAAAACAAGCTGATAGTAAGTCATCCCAGGGACCGACAGAGAACCCCTCTGCAACATCCCTGAAGAGTGGTTATCCAGCCTTTACCTGAAGACTTCCAGCAATGGAGAGCTCACTACCTATCAAAGAAGTCACTCTACTTCGGGGCAGTCCTTAGTGTTAGGATGTTTTTCACTGAGCTGAAGGACAAGTGGGTGGAGCCTTCAACCATTCTTATTCTGCCTTCTGGGGCACAACGGAGCAAGGCTAATCCCTTTTTTGGGTGACGTCCCTAAAGACACTGAGATCTCCCCTACCGAAGTCTCACTTCTCCAGGCTGAGCAGCCCAGGTTCCTCAGAACCCATCTCTATTCATACATGAGGTATGATGGAGAGTGGAGACATCTGTGGATGGTGTGATCTCCGTTCTTCCCACCATTCTTTTCACCTTTCTCTGGACGTGGCCCAGCCTCTTAATGTCCTTCCTAAAATGGGCCTAGGGCTCCCGATACAGTCTGATCCAGGCAGAGTTTAGCAGTACACTCACCTTCTTGGTTCTAAATGCTATACAGCCCTAGGTTGCATCTTTACCCCACTCCGTCTTGGTTTCCAGAAAGAAAGAGGTCAAGATCTTGTAAGCAGTTGGCCCCATAGTACACAGAGCGCTGGGCCTGGAGTCAGGAAGACCACAGTTCATATCCTGTTTCAGATGCTTACTAGCTGGGTGACCCGGGGCAAGTCACGTAACCTTTTGCCTCAGTTTCCTCATCTGTAAAATGGGAATAATAATGGTGCCTACCTCACAGGGTTGTTGTGAGGACCAGATGAGATAATATTTGTAAAGCACTTTGCAAACCTTAAAGTACTATATAAATGCTAGTAGTAATAGTAGCAGCAGCAGCAGCAGTAGTAGTAGTAGTGGCGGTGGTGGTGGTGGCGGTAGTAGTAGTAGTAGTAGTAGTAGTAGTAGTAGTTGTTGTTGTTGTTGTTACTGTATCACTGTCTTGGCCCACCGTTTTGAAAAGTGCAGAAGATTGGAGATGGATGTGATCATGTCGTCACTTGGAGCCTTAAGGGTCTTTCACTCTGGTTTTGTCTCTTAAAATTCAAGTTTCTATTTCTTCACTTTCCTTTCTTCTTCCTTCTTTCCCTGAGCCTGGAAAAAGAGGCCAGGGTTAATTCAACCCCAAATCTGGTCTGGAGAATAGACCAGCGGACTGAAATTCAGAAGTGGCATGATGCCAGCCGCTCAAGCCCAGGAACCTTTGACTTAATGACCTGCTGCTCTATGTGTACTCTGAGATCTTCCAGGGCAAAGAGCAGGCGCTCCCTGAGGAGGGGTGAGGGAGAGTGATGCTTGATCCTAGGAGGGAGGGGCGAGGCTCACTGGAGAGGTCCCTTTCACTGGGAGAGCCTAAGCTTCTCTGAGGCAATCTGCGGCACTTTTCCAGCCTCCGGCTCTTCCTCCTCATTAGCTGTGTGGCTATCAGAAAAAGCCGGATTTAGAGTCCAAAGACCTGGGTTTGAGTCCTGGTTAAGTCATTTCTTACCTGGGTCACCTTGAGCAAGGCTTTTCGCCTCTCTGGGGCCCATTTCCCCCACTCTGCCAAACAAGGGAGTTATATTACGGGGTCTTTAGGCCCCTTCTAGCTCTGTCCTTGCTCTGCCCTAGTCTGGGACACCTCCACCCTTATGCCGTGTTGACTTTGGATGGGATTTTTGAAAAGGGTGAGGGCTGAGTGGGACAGGAAGGTGAGTATTATCTGCATCTTTCTCCTTTAGGGTAGAATTTTAAAAATTGCTTCTCCATTTGTCCTGGGCTCCCCACCCTTATTTCTGGTAACTTCTATTTCCACACTTCATCAGTAGCTGCTGCCGAATCAGTAACCCCCGCTGAGACAGGGGTCTGAGTCGCTGCTGATAGGGCCAAGGGCTTTCTCGGCTTCCCTTTGGAAGCCTGGCAGAGCAGATGTGAAAAAGGTATTTTTATTAGGAAGAAGGCAGGGAGAAGAAAGGGAGTTTGGGGAATGACAGAACATGGGACACCATGTTCCATGGAATTCCTCATCCCTAGTGGTCCCATCAGTGAGGGAGAGCAGGGAGGAATTCAGGTAGCATCCTGGGCTTCCCCTCAGCAGGGATCCTTGGAGCTCCCTCTTTCCCTCCCCCAGTAAATCAGGACCTGCTTGTAGCAATAAACAAGCATTTATTAAGCACCTACTGTGTGCTAGATGCTATTCTAAGCACTGGGAATACAAAGAAAAAACAGTTCCTGCCTTCAAAAAGCTTACATTTCCCCAGAGACAGAATTTTCATATATAAATATAGAGAGAATTAATACAAGATTGAGAGAGAGAGGGAGAGAGAGAGAGAGAGAGAGAGAGAGAGAGAGAGAGAAATTACTAGCAAGTAGGATGGGCTCAGGAAAAATCTAAGGAGTTGATGGTACTTGAGTTCAGCCTTGAAGGAAGGAAAGGATTCTACAAGGCACAAGGAGAACCTTCCAGGCATGAGGGATAATTAGTGCCAAAACCTAGAGATCAAGCTAGAGCATTGTGTGGGAAGAGCAGAAAGGCCAGTCTGTAGCTCCACGCCTGATGGATCTCTAAGACGCTTCCTTTTGCTCAGGTTTGCTGGGGTTCCCAGCACGAAGAGGGTCAGGGCTGGCAGTGACAGGCATACCCACCCATTCAACTTACACACCTCTGCCTGGTAAGGGCAAAGTGTGGGGCTGGGGCGAGGAGAGGAGGGACAAGACGCAAAGCAGATATGGCAGCTCTCCTAATCACCGATCACCGAGACCAGCAGGCCTTTCCTTTGGAATTCTGGGCTTCCGAGAGTCTGGGCCTCTGGGATTCCCCTTGAACCTGGGAGCACCCTGGGGGTGCTTGCCTCTTCCCTGGGAGCTGACCGACAGGTTCCACTCATCCCCTCCCCCCATGCCCCCACAGTGACTCTGGGATTGAAGGTGTGTATATGTGTATCCCTCCCCAACTCAGCCTTGAGCTCTCTCCTCTACAGATGCGGCCCCCTTCCAGTCAGCCCCCTGCCCTTCCCTGCGCAGCGCCCCCGGACCAATTAGGTAACTTGCCGTCACTGGCTGTGCGCTCAGCTCTCTGACCTCTCACTCTTTTTCTCCCCTAAACCTTATCTTAAAAACTGGGGAGACAGCTGCTGAAGAGCAGCGCCCCGGGGGGCTTCACGGCCACTTCAGCCTTTCTCAGCCCTCTCGATTCCCCCAGAGCAATCCCCTCGGCTTGCTAGGGGCTCCCGGGTGGTCCTACCCGGCTCTAACCATCAGCTGGAGGTCTCCCTTTCCACGGCTAGATAACAGGAGCCACGGCTTGGACCAGAGCCACTGTGGAAAGGGATACCATCCTGAAGCCCCTAGGAAACGGAGAGATTGGCTGGGGTGGGGCACGACAGAGCCCCGCCCCCCCTTCTGCCTTTTACTTTGGACCCTCTCGGCTTTCTTCCTCCTTCACCTCCTCATGCTCCTTCTCTCTTCTGGCTTTGCTCTGAGAAGACCTGGGTTCAGATCTTGGTCCTGCCTCTTATAACCTGTGTGATCTTGGCAAGTCACTGCCCCTTCTCTGGGCCTCCGTTTCCTTCTCTATCCAGTGAGGGATTGGACAGGATGGTCTCTAAGGTGCCTTTCGGAACTCAAGCTGGTGATCCTCCCTTGCCCACCGCTCTGGTCTGGGAATCCCTCTCCGGGGGCTCATGCTGCGCTTTCTTCGGGACGATGCCAACCTCTCCCAATCCCTGTTCTGAGATCCCTTCCCCCCTCCCCCCGCAGGGTGCGGCCCGGAACCCCGAGGATATGGACCGAGAGCGGCGGGAGCACGAGAGAGAGGAGAGGATGGGACAGTTGCGAGGATCTGCTACGCGGGCCCTCCCCCCAGGACCCCCTGCTGGTGCCGCTGCCAACCGCTTGCGCAACGTGGCGGAGCCGGTGGCTTCCAACCCAGCCTCCCGCATCCAGCAAGCTGGTGAGGCTGGAGGCTGGGGGCTGGGAGAGGCTGGGGGGCGGGGCCGGGGTCCTCAGGTCCCAGAGAGGAGAAACGACTTGTCTGTTGACAAGCATTTATTAAGCGCTCACTATATGCGAGGCACTGTCCTAAGTACAAGACATGCAAAGAAAGACAAAGACATAATAATAAACTCTTGCCTCGGGTCATCCAACTGGTAAGTGTCCGAGACAGGATTTGAATCCAGGTCTTCCTGACCTCAAGTCCGCTGCTATCCGCCTCTGGGCGATGGTCAAGAGCGTCTTTTCTTTTATCTTCCTCTAGGCAATACTTCTCCCAGAGCGATCTCACGGGTAGACAGGGAGAGGAAGGTGAGTATGAGGTTACACCGAGGAGCCCCGGCCAACGTCTCCTCCTCCGACCTCACAGGACGCCAAGAGGTGTCTCGGATTTCTGCATCACAGGTGAGTGGACGTCCATGCTTCGAGCGTCCATCCATCCATCTATCCATCCATCCATCCATCCGTTTATTCATTCATTCATTCGTTCGTTCGTTCGTTCAATAAGAATTTATTGAAGGACTTAGCCTTTATGAAGTGCCAGGCACTGTGGGAGGTACTGATGGGGAAAAGACAGAAAGGAAGTCCTCCTGGCCTTGGAGAAATTTACATCCCACTTGGGTAGAGTGTAAAACCCAGGAGGATAAATGAAAGATAGATACCAAGTAATTCTCAGCATGGAGGGCATCAGCAACTGGGAGGACCAGGAAAAGCTTTGACCTGAGCTGAACATTTGAAGGAAAGCGGGAGCTTCTCAGAAGCAGAGAGTGCCTGAGGGAGCAGAATGTGTACTAAGTCTGGAAAGATAAGTTGGGGGCAGATGGTAAAGCCAACCAGGGGAGTCTTTATTTTATCCTACAGAAAATAGGGAGCCCCTGCAGCTTCTTGAGAAAGGAAGTCACACGCTCAGGCCTGTGCTTGGGAGGACAGATGTGCTAGTTGTGCAAAGGATGGATTGGAAGGAGGCTGGAGATAGTGAGATCAATGAGGAAGTGGGACTCCTGGTCACCGGGGAGGGAGAGCCTGAGCTCACGGGGCAGCTGTGTGAGGGTAGAGAAGGGATTGGATGCAAGAGACTTCACAGCTGATCAGCTATGACGGGTGAGGGAGAGCTGGGAATCAAGAGTGACTCTGAGGTTATGTCCATGGGGAGCTGTCTTCAACAGAAATGGGAAAGTTTGGAGGAAGGGCCAATTTGAGGGTCAAGATAGTCCAGTTTGGGACATTAGTTTGCTTGTTTAATTAAATTTTATGTTTTTCAATGAACAAAAGTCTATTTTCTCTCCCTTCCACTTCTCTGGCCCTAACTCCAACATTGGGGAATTAAAAACACACACACACACACACACACACACACACACACACACACACACAAAAGATTCTTGTAACAAATAGTTATAGTAAAAAAAAAAATTGCCACATTGGCCATGGGGACATCTGATTGAAATATCCAACAGGCAAGTGGTGATCTGGGGCTGAAGCTCAAGAGAGAGGCGGGGCTGGATACCCAGATCTGAGAGTCATCTGTTTAGAGATGACCGTTAACCGCATGGAAGCTGATGAGATCTCCAGGAAAGAGAGGGTAGCAGACAGATCTAGGGCTAAATATGCTAAGGAAGCAGGACCTGGCTGGTGATCCACGGAAGGAGGCAGAGAGGGAGTGGTCAGGCAGGTGGCTGGACAGCCTAGAGAGGGCAGCCACATGGGGATTTAGGGAGGAACTATCATCCAGGAATCTGGAGTAATCGTCACTGTCAGTACTGCAGAGTGGTCCAGATGATGTGGAGGGACAAAAAAAGTCCCTGGGACTTGGTGATTAAGAGTCATCACTTACCTGGGAGGGAGAAGGAAGAAAGCACGGACTCTCCTCTGGACATGAGGAGGGAGTAGATTCACTCATTCCATGTGTGGCCTGCCTTCCTTCCTTCCTTCCCTCCAGTGTCAGGTGGGGAGAGAAGAGAGATCCCTCCCCCACTCCTCCTCCCCCAATCCGTAGCCATTTTTAATGAGGTTGGCAGGTGCTGGGCAGCCTCACTGGGCTGAGTGTCCAGATAGCTGGGTTTAGTCCTTTGCCCTCACCTCACTTTAGCATCTTGATTTAAAATTGATGTATTCCTTTAATTCTCCACTATATGTACTGAAATAACAGCTGACATTCAGAAAGCACTGATTTCATTGAGCTTTCATGTCAACCTGTCAAGATAGGCAATACATTGATCCCTATTTTTCAATAAGGAAACTGAGGCTCAGACAGGGAGTAGGGATTTGCCCATGGTCACAAAGCAAAGAAATGCCAGAGGTGGGATTCAAACCCAGGTCACTCCTAACTCTAAAGACCAGGCTACTATGCCCCCAGCCCTAGGTAAGCTCCTGAGGGGAAGATCAAAGAGTAGCAGTGAACCTCGTCCCTGCCTTCATGGAACTTATAGTCTAAAGAAGCAGTGTTCTTGTTGTTGGTAAATCCTCTGAGTTGTGTCGGACTCTTCATGACCCCATTTGGGTGGCAAAGATACTGGAGTGGTTTGCCATTTCCTTCTCCAGATCATTTTACAGATGAGGAAACTGAGGCAAACAAGGTTAAATGACTTGCCCAGGGTCACACAGCTAGGAAGTATCTGAGACCAGATTTGAACTCATGAAGATGAGTCTTCCTGACTCCATACCGAGTGTTCTCTCCGCTGTGCTTCCTAGCTGCCCAGAGAAGCAATGTTACCACAGTGGATAGAGCACTGGGTATGGAGTCAGGGGAGACCTGGGTTGAAATCCTGCCTCAGAGATGCCCAAACTGTGTGACATGTGACAGGTGGGATTTGAAGTGGGCCTCAGTATCCTCATTTGTAAAACGAGTTCGGACTTAATGGTCTCCAAGTCACTTTCTAGCTCTGTCTGTAATCCCATATAATCCTGTATAATCTGGATGCCCTTGCTCTCCTCCAGACAAGCGTGCCATTTGACCACCTCGGGAAGTGAGGGGAAGATGCCTCCGGACCAGTGTTTGCTTAGGTAAGTCACCCTCTTCTTGGGGTGACCAAAGCCCCTGGCCCTTGCCCCTGCCTGTCTCCCCAGCCTTAGGACCTGCTCTCCAGGACCTGTCCCAACTCCTCCATGTGGGCATCCTCCCTTTGGGAGATGGAATTGGGGACAGGAAGAGGCAGATGAACGCTAGGGAGAGTCATCCAAAATTTATTAAGCAGTTACTCTGTGCCGGCCACAGTGCTGGTCACCGGGGATGTAAAGAGAAGGCTGGGGAAAAGACCGACCATCCCCCACCCCTTTTCCCTGGGGACATTGGCTTGGAAGGGCAGGAGATCTGGGCCTGCCGCCAGATTGGATTTAATAAAGCTGGATTGAGTAAATCCCAACTCCCTGCATACAGTTGAGGTAAATTGACTTGCCTAGGGTCACACAGCCCGGAAGTGTTGGAAGCCAAATTGGAATCCTTTCTTGGATTCTGTTCTCTACTCCCAAGGAACTAGTCTAGCAGAGTGGGACAGGGCGTGGACAAAGAGAAGTAGGGAGTGGCTGGAATACAGGTCAGGGGTCAATCCTAATTATTTCTCTTTCTTTGTCCCTCTATAGTGTCTTCACTGTATTTTTTCTTTAAAAAAAAATTTTAAAAAGACTTAAAAAAAAGAAAATGAAAAAAAATCCCACAAAACAGACAACAGATTTTTGTTGCTATCTGGGATTTTTCTTTCTTTCTTTTCTTTTCTTTTTTCTTTTTTCTTTCTTTTTGCCAATGGAGAAGAGACACGAAGCTCCCACTGCACCGACTTCTGGCCCTGGTGTCTGCCTTCCTCCCCCGTCTGCCTTCTGCCCTCTAGACCCCATCAAGGGACCCTTTTGAGAAGATACCACTTACCCCGCCTGGAGCCATGCCAAGCCTCCCCATGCTTGCCACCCCTGCACAGTGGGGTGGGGGTGAGGGCTCTCCGTCTCCTTCTCCTAGCCCAGACTGGGCTCCAGGGGTCAGGGCCCCTCTGCCCTCCCACCCCACACTGCTGTTCTCTGTGTCAATGTTGATCTGAGCATCCTCTGGGTCCGAGGAGCCAACCTCTGGATGAAGAGGAAAGGGAAGGTTTGGACATGGCAGAAGCTGTCTGGATTTCATTTTGTTTTGTGAAAGTAAACTCGTGACTCCCTGAGGCCCTGACTCTGTCCGTGGGGGCTTGGGTTTCTTGGTTAGACAGGCCTCGAAGCCTCAGAAGACGCCAGCTTTCAAGGGTCACTCGTGGGGTCACTGGATGCTTCCTGACATCCTTGCCCCATTCTCTCCTTAGCACTGATCTGGGGTGTCCTGGGCCGAGCTGGGGGCCTGGGCCCCTCCCTCTCTCCCTAGCCCCTGGAGCCTGGCAGGGAAGGGAAGGCAACTGTGAGCCCAGAGCCTCAAGAGGATTTCTAGGAAGCTGGTAGGGGGGTGGGGGTGGGGGGCAGTGGTGGATGGCGTGGCTGTGGGTATGTCCGAGAGTGTGACTGTGTGTGTCTATTGGCTTTGTGTATTCTCCAGGATGAGCGTTGAGGGCCTGGCAGGGTCCCTGCAGGATGCTGTGGGACAACAGGCCCCTTCTCCCCCCAACCCCTTCACACTTCAGTTTGGTTATCCCAATTTTGATGCCCGGAAGGCCTCTCTCCTGGGCTTCCCAGGAAAGGAGAACCCAAGCCCTGCTTGGATCCAGTCCTACGGTGGAACAGGGAAACGAACATTCCCCACTCCCACCACCCTTGTTGGGGAAGAGAAGTCCTTGGGAATGATTATCAGAGACAAATGGAAAGAGTTGGTTCTTGGGTTTCCAGTGAACCATTGGGAGCCCCACCTCTCCCTTTGTGCCCTTCCGCTGCCCTGTTACCCCAGATGTGGGGAGATCCAGGAGAAGATGAAATGCCCGGGGGGAATTGGATTTTTTTTTTTTAGTGCTTTCTATTTAACACAAGTTTTTGTTTTTGTTTGGTTTTTGCTTTTGTTTTGGGCTATTTTTCCTAATTTATTTACCCCTCTTTCTCTGTCTTTTTTTTCTTTTTTTTAACTAAAGAGTAAATCTTTTTATTACTTTGTAATTTAAAAAAATGGAAAAAAAAATACTGAAGAACTTTGGGGGGAATTTTGTACTTTTTTCCTGTGTAAATATTGGACTTTTTGGAGCTTTATTGTGGTCGTTAATTTGGAGTAATAAAGTAGAAAATAATCAAGTGAGTTGGCTTACGCCCCCGACTTTTCTTCCCGTCCCCTCGCTATTCTCAGGGCTAGAAAGGGAGTCCAGGGAAGAAGCCCAGAGAGGCAAGAACACAAAGAAGCACCAGCTGAAAAGGTGCCTTGGAGGCTTTCTGGTTGGATGCGCCCATTTTATAGATGAGAAAACTGAGGCCCATTTTGCACACACAGCTGACTGGACCATTCCCTGCTCAAGAAGCTGCAGCAGTTCCCATTGCCTCTAGGAGAAAACACCAACTTCTTTGTCTGGCATTTATTTTTTTAGGTTGTATGTCCATTCCTCCCCAATATCCAATAATAATAATAATAATAACAACAGCCACATGTGTTATCTCATTAGGTCCCCACAACAACCTGTAAAATAGGTGTTATTATTATCCCCATTTTACAAAGATGTAGCCCGAATCATGGAACAGCTGGGTGACCCAGTGCACAGAACGCCAGGCCTGGAGTCAGGAAGATCTGAGCTAAAATCTGGCCTCAGACACTTCCTAGCTGTGTGACCCTGGGCAAGTCACTGAACTGTGTTTGCCTCAGTTTCCATATCTGGAAAATGAGCTGGAGAAGGAAATGGCAGACTGCTCTAGTGTCTCTGCCAAGAAAAACCCCAAATGGGGCCATGAAGAGACAGACACTGAAAAATGACTGAACAATGACATGACCTTGTACAAGTCCCTTAAACTCCCTTGATCTCAGTTTTCTCCTCTGTAAAAGAAGGCTGATTACCCTTACACTCCCTGTAACACAGGCTTCTTGTGAGGAAGTGATATCATTATTGTTATTATTGTTAATTATTATTATATTATTTCTGCCCTCTGATGCTTCATTAAGGCACAGAGATTAACTGTGGAATCTCACGAACTCTGGGAACGGAGTGCATGCTATGGTGGCTTTACTAACAAAGAAAGGCTTCCAGGATGGGTTGGGCCATGTGTGCGAGCGTGTGTATACATGTACGTGCATATGCATGTGTGTGTGTGTGTGTGAGTGTGGCCTGAGGCCCAGCCCAACCAAATCCAGAAGTAGTCCAAAAAGGGCAGAATTTCATGAGCACAGAGTTTCACAAAGACCATGGCAAGGTCTTGCGGCTGCAGTGGTAGGATTGGACTAAATCATAATCTCTCCAAGGGTTCATTCTATGACAGCTGGGCCCAGGGGCAGCTAGACTGGCTATAGCTCACTTATAAACCAGCTACAGTTGGTTAAGAACAGAAGGCAGGGAGCCCTGTGTTAGTAGTCTGGACAAGACTTCATGGGGACTTGTTCAAGGTCACACCCAGCCAGGAAAGAGCAGAGCTAAGACTCACATCCAGGCTATCTGCCTTCTGGCCGCCATCACTCTTTTCACCATGTATGTTCCAGTGCCTTTCTTTCAAGGCCCAGTTGACTCCCCACCACCTCCAAAAGGCCTTCTCTGCCTAGGCCATCCCATAGTAGTCTCCCTCTTCTGTATTGCTATAGCTCCCACTTCGTGTGGTTCGTTGAGCCCCCATCGGAGGCATAATCTACAAAACCCAGAAGATTCCTTTGTCCTCTGCTGGAGGGGTCAGATCACCTCTTGAATATTGTGTTTGGTCCAGGCAGGTCATTTGTAAGCTACCTAGCATCCAGAGGAAAGCAGGGCCTTGGAGGCCTGCCTACCTCCCACAAGGAGCCGTTGAAAGAATCATGGAGAAAGGGTGTTAAGCTGGGAAAAGTAAAGGCTCAGGGAGGCCATGCTAACTAACATATGAAACAGGAGTTGGGTTTGTTCTTGGCCTTTGATGGCAAAATCCATGGACGTCAGTTACCATCCAGCGGCCCCATCAGTCAATGGAAAGCTCTCTCTCTAAAATGACCAGTGATCTCTTACTTGTCAAATCTAATGGCCTTCATTTGAACAGCCACTTGTCCTAGCTTCTCTCTAGGATTTCATGACCCTACTCTCTCCCAATGGTTCCTCCATCTCAGTCTCTTTTGCTGGCTCATCATCCTTATCACATCCTCTAACTGTGACTCCTTCCTAGGACTCTATCCTGGTCAATCCTTTCTCTTTACATTCTCTCTCTCTTCCTAAACCCATCAGCTCTCATGGGTTTCATTATTACCTCCTTACAGAGGACTCGAAGATGTACATCTCCAGTCCGAGGCTCTGTCAGTCCCGCATCACCAAGTGCCTGTTAAACACTCCCATAGACATTTCAAGCTCATACATCTCAGACTGAATTTATTCTCTTTCCCCACCAACTCTCATCTCTTCCTAATTTCCCTCCTTTTGTCAGATGCACCACCATCCTTTCATTCTCTCAGATTTGTAACCTCGGCATTATCCCCTACTCCCTATCCAATCAGAGACTATCTTGCCTTCTGTACCTTCTCACCCTCTCCCATTCCACACTCTTTCTCTACTTCTGTAGTTCTGACCCCAGATTACTTCACCAGTCTTCTAATGGGTCTCCCTGACCCAAGCCTCTCCCTGCTCCAGTTCACCTTACATACTGCTGCCAGAGTGATTTTCCTCAAACATAGATCTAACCATGTGACTCTTTTACTCGACTAACAAGTAGCCATTACCTCCAGGCTAAAAAATACACCCTTTGTTTGGCTTTTAAAGCTCTTTTAGAACTGGCTCCAGCCCATCTTTCCAGCTTCGTGGGACACTGTTTGATCCAGCCAAGCTGGCTTTCTCTCTGGTCTTCACACACAGCATTCCATCCCTGGTCTTCATGCCTGGAATGCACTTCCTCCTTGCCTCTCTCTTAGAGAATCTGATGCTTTCTTTAAGACCCAGCTCAAGCACCACATCGTATATGAAATCTTTCCACTGTTGGTGCCCTGCCTCCCAAACTACCTTATATTAACCGCTTTGGATTAATTTCTATTTATTCTTTAAATACTTCTACATACTTATTGTTTCCCCATGAGAATGGGGGTTGTTCCTCAAGAGCAGGGGTTGTTTCATCATCTGTATTTGTATCCTCGATGCCTGGCAGATAGTAGGTGCTTAAATGCTGGTTGATTGGTTGATTGATTGCAAAGAGGCTGATTCAGGCTTGACCTTGAAAAAGAGCCATCCCAGAAGTGGGAGGGGGAGAAAATTTAAAACTCAAAGTCTTATAGATCTGAATGTTGAAAACTAAAAATAAATAAATTAATTCTCAACAAAAGAAAAAAGAAAAAGAGCCATCCCATGGTGGAATGGGCTGCTCTGGGAAGAAGTGGGTTTGCCCATTACTGGAAGACTTTGGGCACTTGTTGGGTGAGTTTGTAGTGAGGATATTTTGTCACTTATGTACTGGACTAAATGGCCCCCAAAGTGCCTTCCAATGCCGAAATTCCATGATTCTGTGACTAGATGACTTTCCAGTTCTAAACCTATGGATGCACCAATTCTTCACCTGCCTGTCCCCTACCCTCAGGCCAATGACAAGGTAAGGCTTTGTTAAGAGAGGAGGCAGTGGTGGGCTGGATGCTTGGAGGCAAGTACCTGGGCTCAAATTGCATCCCCAAGATTTACTACTTAAGGAACCTTGAACAACTCAGTTAATATCTTCAGGCCTCACTTTCACATTCTGTAAAAATAATAACTGACATTTGTACTATGCTTTAAAGTGTGTAAATAGCATAGATAGATAGATAGATGGATGGATGGATGGATGGATGGATGGACAGATGGACGGATAGATACATAGATGGATAGATGGATGGATGGATAGATGGATGGATAGATGGATGGATGGATAGATACATAGATACATGGATGG